TTTCATTGTGGGAAAATGTGCTCCTTGAGAAATACTGCAGCATCAACTACACTGAGGCCTTTTGTAGTACTCTGCCATGAATCTATACAGTATTTATGTGTATCCGTCTGTCTGTGGAGCGACCTTGTCACTGCAATAGCATCACAGGTGTGCTAGATGCAGTCCAGGATGTTTACAGATGTGTGGATAAGATCAAAATAAAGGCTGAGTTCATAGGTGTGGACCGAGCAAGTGCACTGGAAGAAGGAAGGGGGGAAGAGGACATTGGCACGCCCCTACTTTACGCCCCTGCCACGATTTGGCGTTGCTCCTGGTATTGCATGATGCATGTATATAACATGTAATACATTTAAGGACTTTATTCAAATGAATAGTAGTATTTTATAATATTTTAGACACAAGCCTTTACTCGCATCAGTCCCAGTAATGTTAAAGGGTTGCAGAACTGAGTTGTGTCATTTATTCATGAGACAGATATAGTGATGTTTTTATGTTGATGAGTGCAAGTAAATGGGGGGGGGGGGGTATGTGAAAAAAGTGCACATTTACAGTATATCAGTAGATCTATTGATATAAAACACAAATGATGGTAAGGGTACAAACTGCTAGCTCATCTTGAATAGATCGGATGCGTTCCTAACACTGTTTTAATGATTGAAGAGAGCAGTCTCGCTTTCTCTTAATCTGTGCTCCCTCAGTGGTTGTGAACACTTGGAAAGAGTGTTAGCTGATAAATGATGGTGCTTCCTAATTAGGAAGTATTTTCAGAAGACGACAGCAGTGTCAAGCATTATAGCGACAGTAGAAAAAGTACAAGCGGCTTGTAAAACAAAGAGTCACAATAAGATAAAAATAGAGATAGCATTGGTTAGTGGTATCTGTGAAACAATATAATGCGTCTACACATTGTGCAAAAAAAAGGTTATGCAAATAGCAGGGAATTTGCAAACATTTGTTTGACATAAAAGGATGCAGAAAAACTGATGGTTTACATTTAAACCTCGACAGGGCACCTCTTATAAATGCGACTAACATGCAAATATGAAGTCAGCAGAAAAAGGTATTGAAAATCACATCCCTTAGGTTGTGACTAATGACTAAGATATTAAATGAGATGTTTTTACTGTTTATTCAGCCTTAACATAGGGCAGATTTCCTATTAAATGAATTTGTGTAGGGTATTGCAACACCTCAGAAACATAGAAGATAATTATTAGAGACAGAGAGCGGCAAACATAAACTAATGGTAACAATGTCTGTAAAGGCCACAGCTATGATGCATAATGAAGGCATTGTTGTTCAATTATAATACATTTGCACATTTATGCTAATACTAACATTGCTACACATTTATAAAAAAAACATTATGCTTTCTGATTAACTATGTGTTAATGTGTTTTAAAAAATAATAAATAATAAATTATGAGCGTCTAATGGATGTACTCGACTAGTTAGAAACTAGAAACTTACAAAACATTATGAGTACCTATACGTTCCTATACACACATCGACAATCAATTGTACGACTCTTAGCATACTATAATGTTCCATAAGGTATAACAAGGAAGTTTGTGAATGTAAAGTGAAGTACAAATGTTCTTTATAACATGTCCTTGTTGGTGGTGAGTAAGGTGAAATGCATTTGTATGGAATGAATATAATTCATGCTTCATCATAAGTGATACATATTCATGTAGAGGCTTTTTAGAAAGTAGAAGTCTTCCAGGCAGATTTACTTATAAAATATTTAACTTGGTGTATTTGTTGATTTATTTTGGTTCTTTCAGCTTTCGATTTAATTAGTTCAAAAAATGTTTTTGCATTCCTAAAAGTGAAAGTACAACTATTTAGCTATTTGCTACTTTAGTTTGTTTTTTGGGGGGGGATATGTAGAAATAAAATAAAACAATCTTTCAAAGCTGAGAATAAAAGTACTCCAAAACATTAAACATGAAAAAGCTATATTATCTTAATGTTTATCAGCAAGTGCACAAAAAGGTGCAACAAAATAAAAGGTACTACTGTTCTGTACCGTAGCTAAATAAATAGATACATACCTGTAAGTAGGAAAAATCCTAGGGTGAAAAAGGAAAGCCTCCTCATTTCTGTTCAGTCCTGTTTACAATCTCTCACGCCTCAGTGAATAATCGCCCTTATTGCTGTTTAATACCAACTGAGCAGAAGGTATCAGTTGTTTGCACACATACACAGATGGTGTCATCCCTTACAGGGAGCTCCTGTCCTCTGCAGAGAGATTAGATTTCTGTTAACCGCTCCTTTTACAGTCACTGCGGGTACTCAAGTCAAAAGGTTAAAAAATGTCAGAAAAGACGCCATAACTAGATTTTTTCATTTGCAATACAGTTTATGGTGTTAATAACCTATCAATATTGGAACACGTTGGTCTTACTCTTACTGACTGACATACACTCCTTAAAAATAGGTGTTCACATTCTCATAACTCTTTAACTCTAAAGTGTTTCTAAGGGTCACTTAAAGGGAACTGCAACTTAGTAAGATGAATCCGAGACAGGTTTTCTTCTCAAAGGGATTTGCGATGAAATACAGAAATATTTGCACCTTTATGCATGAAACTAATAAAGAATATGTATTTAACAATGCTGTTAACCTGTTAGGCCCCGAGCCTGTTTTCCACGTCTCAGGCTCGAAAATGACATTCCCAGAACAAATGACTATAACTTCACTTCTAAAAGGGGTAAATTAATAATCTTTTATCTCAAAGCAATGATAAACCTGTGAGTTGGATGTAGAAAAGTCAGAATCAATATAGATGTTTTTATTTTAAAGTAAATTCAGATTGAACATAGTAAAAAAACGTAAATTATAGTGTCCGTCCAAAAAAAAACACATTACTTATAGTGAAAACCACCCTTGAATGGTGGGATAGTAGACTAAACGCTTTAGGAATCCAAACTATAACATATAATAAGTACCCTGTATCAAGATCAGTGGCGAGCCGTCAGGTCCCTCTAGGCCCTCTGTGAGGGCCTAAGATATTCTAAAAAATAATATTTAAAAACATTTAAAAAATATATATTTTCTTTAAATATATATTTTTTTAATATTATTTTTGTTATATTTTTCATTAGTTTTACCGAAAAAAAACTTGATTTAATTGTATTTAAAATAACATTTCCAAATAAATAAATCCTTCGAATCTGCCTGTTCAGTCTCTGTTGAATGTGAAGGGTTACATGAAAGAAGCTCGCCTGGCCCTCTCTGCGATTCACAGAGGGCCCGCTATAGTAACTGAACGAGAGAGTAATGTCAAATGACAGTACAATTGACCAATCATATCTTCCCTCTAAATGGGTGGGTTTTATTATCGCGGACTTTATGACAAGTTCCGCCCGCTGTGAAACTTTTCTTGTTTCCATAACAACAACAACTTCCTGTCAACAACGTTAATTCGCCTTCAAAATAAAAGCATGCCAAATTACACTTAAGACATACAACTGCAACGAAAGTAACAAACACAATGCAATATCATTTTCAATGTCAAAGAACACAAATGGGGTTCCCAGGTGTTGTTTTGTGTGGTAGAGGGTCGCTGTCATTGATGCGTTGTGCACCCTGGGCCGTTGTTTTGATATTCCGCTGAAGTATACGCTGTGACGTAATAACTATTTTTTTTTCTTTTTTTCGAGGGAATTGGTGGGGGTCAGAGGGCCTAGGTATAAAGCTCACGGCTCGCCACTGATCAAGATTGATGCAAAACAAGTGACATTGACATTTTACCTTTTTAGAGAGGTTTAGCAAGTCAGAGCCAATAGAATCGAGGGGAAGTTCCTAAATCCACCTACACGTTACCAAATAAGGAGTGAGAGTGATGCGTAGCCAGAATATCCAAAACAGGTAGCTATCATAGCAGCTAATATGAAAACTCAGTTTTTGACATAAAAATTGAATGATGGATTATCAGTAATCATGTGACACAGTTCAATTAATGCCATTGAACACAACTTTTGATCAGAAATAGCAAAAAGTAAGACATTTCTCCCGTTTTTGCTCCATAAAGCTATGTGATGTCTGTGTTTGCTTCCCATGTCGCGAGTTCTGATCGCTCAGTGATGATACTAATACCCCTATTTAGCTTGCTAATATCTTGTTTGTGCAGATCCGATAAGTAATAATTATAAAGTATTTATACCTAGAGTTCTGTGCTAAGTGCGTTAGCATTTTTTCGCTCAGGGCTAATTTAGACACTTCTTGTGAGACTTGTGTTTTCGGCTTAACAGGTTAAGTATGTTAGCATGCATACATTTCCTCAGGGAACCATACATTTTGATTGCAAGTCATTCAATAGTTATGAGCTATTTTAGTCCGAACCAAAGTCCAGTTTTCAACGTAATGATATTGCCAACCCTAAAACGAAGCTGGTCGCTAAGAACTCCATAGCCTTTTATCTTCCCTCGCTAGGTGTTATATTGCCATCGCTATAAGGTGTGTGTATATTTGAACATATCCACAAACACACTGTAAGTCCCCTGAAACCACAACCTCACACTGTTAGACTTTTTCATTATATAGTGCAGCTTAGATAAAAGCAGACATAATTCCAGGTGCACTTGTCTACCCCATTGCAACTCCTCATCACAGTTGCTGTGCAAAAGTTATGCGAGCAGAGCTATAACTCTGACCTTCTCATATTGGCTGAACATCCAAGAAGCGAACGCAGCACCGAGTAACCTCACGTCGGCTAATCAACAGGTTAAAGCTGTCACACAGCAAGAAAAAGTCCCAAATTCAATTCCTGGGCACAGCTTTCTGTGAATTTACAAGTAATCCTCTTATTTCGAAGAACTACAAATTTGGAAGACCCCAAAGCTAAGTCAAACTGTAAACAGTCTTTAAAACGCAAATGTGTTTGTACACGATGAATTATCCTTCCAGTACATGCCATCCAGAGAATCCACACAGATGACGGAGGGTTTCTTCAGATTAATAATATATACAGGACTAAACTACTCCTTTTTGGAATGAAATTCAAAAGGAAATATACCAAAGGCAGGCACCGACATTGCAGAGGGACAAACACTCTATTATAAATGGTGTTTATTCTGTACAAGCAAGTATTGTACTCCATCATTTGCACACACTAGTTTTCTGTCAAACATTATACATTTTAATGGGCATGAAAAACAAAAAAGGGAAAGTATATTTGATTTTTTTTTTTTTTTTTTTTACAAAGAAATCAGAATCAGACAACGATTAGAATCAGAATTTTAAAAAGAGAGAGAAAATATACAACATATTTGAAAAATGATAGGTATTGTTTGGAATAGCAGTTAAGGATCAGTGTTTGGATAAGGAATTATAAAGAAGAGAAAACAAATCTTATGACTACCAGGCCTGGTGTTTTTAGAGATTAGTCATGTAAGCCTAACACTAAGATAAAAGGACAAGACTGATGAAAGCAAGGATATTATAAAAATGTGTTATGGGGTTCATGGGATGACCTTCATACAGGAGTGCAGGATCTCGAGGCCGTGAAGTTCCCGAAGTTTGTGGATATGTCTGGAATTGAAGAAAGGAGGATGTCAATTGAAAGCACATTTAAAGTATGTTCAGTGGGGTCAAATTCAACTGACAGCATTTCCTTGCTCCGATTTAGCTTATATGTTTATAAACCTTGATTGAAAACCCACTGAATACAATTAACTGCACATCATTTGGAGTCAATCATTGGGGTGGAAGGAACTGCCTCCAGAGCTTTTCTACAATACCTTTTTTTCCATTTGAACATTCAAATATTTGTCTCATTATACTGAGTTGAAACAATGGGTCACGTTTATGATTAGTTGATGGACAGAAAATTAATTAACTACTTTGACAACGATAACTAATTTGAAACATCCCATCTTCTTCCTATTTGAGAATCAGCTGTTTGTCTCTCTCATTTCATGTCTTTGGAGAAGCATTTCATGACAGCTTGGACTCTGGACAAATTCCTCTTGCCATTTTTCACAATTTTGTGACATTTACTGACAAAAATAAATTGAGAAATAGCTGGCAGACTAATGGATATTGAAAAAAACACATTAGTTTTAACCACAAACTGTATCCAACAGACAAGAAGCGTTGATCGACTAAATGAACACACATTTAAGCTATCAAACAAATGCAGCAAATTTAGCATTCAAAATAAGTGTAGATATTAATAAAAAAGTGGTCATGTTGTGGATATACTGTGCATTAGAGTAGTTATTCACACAATGACTGCAGAGTCAAAGTGGTGACAGTAACTTGAAAAATTAAATGAAAATACAGAATATAAACACTGCATAATAAACAATATTTAAATACTGACTTTGATATGCAAACGCCAATATAATAAATATTTCCAGCTGAGCCAGAACTCGTAAATGTGCCTAATGTGTGACGACTACCATAACATCACATACTGTAGTGTCATATCAGTGGGACTTTTTATCTTGTCCATCAATGCTCCTTCCGGCTAGTTTCTAGAATGTAATCAGCAGCATGTGGTTTATAGAATGAGGTGAGAGGGCACCTGGGCTCAAATCGACACAACTTCCCCAGAGCAATGGCAGCATTTTGCCGCACAGCTGTCCTCTTAGCGTCCCCCGCTGCGTGGCGCAGCAGCAGCCGCACAGTATCAGTGCCCAGCAGGCGGCTGGCAATTCCCTCCAACTCAAGGAGGTGGGCCAAGCACAAGGCTGCATTTCCTGACACCATCTCATCACAGCTGGAAGCCAGCAAACGACGTAAAACAGACAGTTCTGTGTAAAACAATAAATAAAAAGTAAATAAAAAGAGAATAGTGTTTTTCAAATGTAATAACAAACACACATGTATTGACATGAAAATCAACAAATATACTGCACACTGCAGAGAAGCAGAAACACACTCCATTTGCATATTAGGTCAACCCTAAAATGTTATTCATAAACTAATGAATGTCAATCATTCCTCACTTTTATCGGATTGCACCAGCTCCTCCCGGGCCGACTGACTGGCAGCAGTGCAGAGAGTCAGAGTCTTAATGGCATACTTAGTGGCAGTCTGCCCTGTTCCCTTGGTAGGAAGACAAAGAAATAACAATCTCATTAAACATGTTGAACGTAAGGCTGAAAACAACGTTATGTTGACACTTGTTACTAGTAGAAAATACCCAGTTACCCAGTTAAAAATAAATGATCAAGTACACTATCCATGTCAAATCTGGTTTTTTTCCTCATGTCTTCATGTAAATATCGTCATTCCACAACGTTAAACACGTGTTGCTGTATTAATAGATATTGGTTGTATGTACAGATACTGTATGCACCTTCAGCAGGGGGAGCATGAGCCGGACCACACCCCCCTGAACAACATGCTGAACGGCCTCAGGGGACTGAGGGAGGACAGTGCTCAGCACACCCGTGGCTCTCTGGAGGACAAAGAACATTGTTGGCATTAGAAATGGAGATTATATAAGAGGAAGAAAAATATAGGAAGAAAGACGGATAAAAAACACAGCAGAGAAATACACAGGGTAGCAGAGCATCAACAGAAAAGTGTTTTCAGCGAAAGATAGCTAGCAGACAAAAAAAAGACTTAAAGAATATTAGAGTCTAATAGAAGTGGAGAATAGGAAAAGACAATTATGAAATCAGAAGGTCTTCTGGAGTGTGTTAACAGCAGTTAAGTACAGAAAGTCCTATGTTAAAATAATGAAAACATGTTGGACTGATTATAAAATGTGTTTAATTAGATTCTCTCGAGTAACTTCTAACAATTCTTGCCTCCTGCTCACATGCTCCTCACACCTCCCTTTCAGAAAGCTTAACTTAAATCTATATACTCAAAGTGATAACAAAACAGCCCCAAACGCATTACTTTGGGCTTTAGGGCTTTGGTGTAGCCTTGAATATACAATAAAGAGCAAAGTCAAGTCAAGAAAAGACACAAACTGAGAAAAACATCAGGGACATTTTAAATAGAGGGTGTTGGGACCAGGTGACAATGACGGAAAAAGTTACAGGAACACAGTGTGTGAGCACTAAAATAGAGTAAAGAGGCAGATGGGTGGAAGTGTGTGACTCTGAGGGCATTGTGTAGGCAGTGTGAAACTGCTCTAACAGCCATTAGCACAGGCCCAGCACCTGGAGCTTGAGCTTTAATCAACTGTAATGACACATAGGACCCTCTGAACATTGTGGATGGCTGTTACCACCTTTCTGGCACATTGCCAATGACTTCACAAGCAGCAAAAGCCCCATTACTCAACGCCGATGTCTTCTATTCCGCCAAGTTTCCCTGAAAGGATGTTTTTTATCTTTTTAAGGATGTATGGACGTTAGGAAAACAAACTGAATGTTTTCAACATGCATCATTAGTAACGGTTAATAACGAGTATTAATACTTTTAAAACTTTTCTTGGTCCTAAGCCAAACATATAAATGTAATGGGAGTTATGGTACAGTAAAGCAACAAAATTAATGACATGTAAGGGTTAAAGTAAAGCTCTTGAGTACTGTTGTGTAGTGCCAAAGTAACTCACAGTTATTACTCCTCCGTCACTATCCCTCAGCAGGCCCAAGGTGCAGTCGCAGAGTGAGACAGCATGCTCCTACAAAGAACGGGAGAGAAATGTGACTAAACCAATTTTCAGATACGTTTTACCCCCTGATGTCACACATCATGGTTCACATAAGTATCCTTTTATTTAATATTGATGACATACATATTTTTAAAGTGGTGTACAGCGAATGTTCTTTAAAAACATGTAATTCTTTCATTCACGTTGAATGTCAGTTCAGCTTTACTTTATATTGGATACAGTGTCATGATGTCATCAGTTTTTAAAGTGCGGCAAGTAAATGTCTCACATGACTTTTTTCTTACCTTAATGGTTGGAGAGGTGATAGTTGAAAGGTTGATGATCAACCCAAGCATAGGGTAAAGGATTTCTTTGTAATCACTCGCACTGCATTGCCTCTACAAAAACAGCCAACACATTCTACACTTAATCAAATCAATACAGAAAGTTTAAAAACTAAAGGTAATATTTTAACATATCCAGGCTACAAAGTGTCTCACTGTGTCATTCAGAGCACACTGTGGTGTTTCAACTCAATGAACAAGGGATTTTAACTTTACTATAAGAAGCAAAAAAGTCATTGTACTTACGATGGCGACCACAAAAGCCTTCCAACATTCTGGATCATGGGCTAAATTGTGACGAATGACATCATCTCGAGCAAGACAGCCAACAGCTGATATCAGTGATGGAAGGACCTGCCGATTGGACTCGCTGATATTTGCCTATAAAATGAAGAAAACATATTTGTTCATTTGCTCACACACACACACACACATGCACACCTGAATATATTGAGTGTATATATCAATATGAAAACTACTTTGTATCTACACATAGAGTACATAGCTTACCAGTAATGTTGTAAATGGCACAATGACAGAGTCTTTCAACACGCCTCTTAACTGAAGGCAAAATCTGTAAGACAAGATGAAACATCGCTACCATACTTAACATACGATAGGTACAGAGTATGTGTATTAGAGTACATAATGGTTCCACTATTTAACAGAACTAACCAATATATAACTCATTGTTGTATTCAAATGAACAAGGACACTTTGGAGAGGAGGAGGTGAGTAGAGAGTAAAGTTGAATCTTCCATTTAAGTTACACAATCATCCAATTGACAATATGGATTAACTGTAACACATCACAATCCAGTTGCTTTGACTAATGACTGAAACAAAAATACAGTGTGCTCTGTGTCATGTGGGGGGGAGGAGGCTGCTGCAGATGTTCTACCAGTCTGTGGTAGCCAGTGTGCTCCTCTTTGCTGAGGAGTGCTGGGGTGGAAACACCAACACAAATGATGCTGACAGGCTAAACAAATTTGTGAGGAAGGCTAGCTCCGTTGTTGAAGTAAAACGGGACTGAATCTGGGGTAGGTGGCTGAGGAGAGGACGAGGACGAAGCTGGACATTATCCTTGAGAACACCCCCCTCCATGCAGAGCTAGTGAAGATGAGCAGTACATTCAGCCACGGACTAATCCCTTTTACCTTGTTGTGATATCTAATTTTAACAGTTACTTATATAATGTAATTTTAAATGTTATTATCCTCATGTGAATCTGTACTGTCCTGTTTTCATTCTCACTCTGTTGCTGCTTTAAAATCCTGAATTTCCCCACAGGGATAAATAAAGGTCCTATAAAGATCTTGTCTTATCTTATATAGTATTATATTATCTTATGTAGTGTTATATGCATTGAAACATGTTTGCAAATGTATATGTAATATGTAAATGTTTCACAATATAGATTTTATTTTATTTGGATCCAATATGGAATTTGGATTGGTTGTATATTATTATCCTCAAAAAGTGAAGTGAAAAACCTCAGTAGCACATAATACATTTGTGTTGGGTAACTCTCTTTGAGCTACAGACAGGGAAATTGATCTTCCCCTTTCACTGCTTGACACCTCGACTTATTTCCTGCTGTGTTGGAGCCTGGGTTTCCCTTTCATGTCTTGTTTTCATGAGGCGCCAGAGAGGAAGACAGGTTGAGAACGGCCTTTTGCCTTTTCAAGTGACCTTAACCCTTGGATAGCACATGTTGAAATATTAAAGATGCCACACCATTTGTCAGAGGAGCCCTCCTGCATGATGAATACATGGATTTTAGAGTGCTTTAAATATATATGGATATATTCGAGGATAATAGAGCGGTGAGTCATATCCTGAGTATCTGAAACTATGAATTTCCTTGTTCAGTAACAAAGTTTTTTTGTGAGGCTGTGTATCAGTTATACTTGTTTTCTGCCGCAAAGTTCTCCAGAATCTTGACAGCTGTGTTCTGCTGCTTCGTTGGCTTTAAGATGCACGCCATGAGGTTCCTCACAAACCTTGAGATTCAAAGGGGTAGAGAGTAGAGACAGAAAAAGAGAGGAAATAAGAATAGAAGAAGGAGAGAGTGATGGAAAGGAAAAATCATATAAGTGCGATAATAATGCTAATCAGGAGCAACAATATAATTCATTCCTAATTTTCTGAAAACCAAAAGCTGCAGCTCCGATAATATCAGACACAGGATAAGAAATCACTTAGGCCCCTTTTTAATCTATGGAAACTATGTCCCAGACCGATGATTTCTAACAATTCTTGAAATCTCATTAAATGGACCAGGACTGAACTATTGTCTTTCCACTAATTTCATTAAGGGAAACAATGTAACATGTAAGATCATTTAAATACTTCGAGATGGGACTACCTAAATGAGAAAAACATTGAATAGTTTAGTTTATAGGAAACATGCAGAAAACCTACTACATCTGAACATGGAAACATTACTCCAGCTATCTTGTCGCTCTTGTCTGTTGCATGTGATGTAAATGTGCATAAAGTGAAAGTAAATGAATGTCTTACTTGTGCCCATTCAGGTTGTCAATAACCAAACGTCTGCCATGTGGCGTCTGTGAGTACAAACTTAGTAATGCCAGGCATTCTTCCCGCACTGCAACATGCTCGGCTGTTACCAAGTCAACGATGGACCGTCTGATGAATGGGCACGTTATCAACATTTTCTGGTTTTCATCTGAAAACAAAAGGAAAACATGTTATGTACAAAATATGAGCTCAGTGGACACCACCTAATCTGTTAACACAATTATAGGAATATTAGGCTGAAGAAACACTTTGTTGTTAATAGGGTATTAATAAACACACACACACTGAGTATCACAGTTGGCACAGAGGGTGGATTTGTTGAAGCCCACACAGCTTGTTTGATTCAAAGTGGAAATAAAGGCTTGACAAAAGAAAGGCTTACTATAACAGTGACAAGCTGTGCAGTAATGACACAATGCAGAATAATAATTCATTTTGTACCTCTATTCCCTGTTAACTTACATGTAATGAGAGCATCTGGCTACATAAACAAGACAGAACTTGAAATGTAACTCAATGTAATACATACTGTTTCCACAACAGATAACCCTCCATAACTTCAGAGCAGACACACACAACTCCTGGCATCCTGGATCCTTTGTTTCCTGCAAAAGGCAACTGCAGAGAAGATGAAGCTCAGTGATCAGTGTTTCATTGTTCTCTTCTAATTGACATAATACAAATCAAATTTAAATATTACTCTGAAATAATTTAAATGTAATTTATATGCAAGTATGCCTCCACGCAAAACAAAGGATGAAATAAAAAAATGAAAAACAGAACGTAACACATGGCCAAGTTTAAAACACCAGACACATGTAGCAATTACACAGTTCACTAGATGCCATCTCATCTCAGATAAATACGATGCATTCATGGGTAAACAGCAAAGCCCTTATTTTTGACGTACAAAATGTAAGGCGACTATCAAACACTAATAATAAATAACAATGAATAAAATGTTTTTCAGTATAGCTATATAAAGGAAATAGTGCAATAAGAATAGACAAACACTTTTTTGTGAGCATGCAGTATGAACTCGGGCTAATAATGGCTTAGTCATCATAAGGCACTTTGCCCTTCAATTTATCTACATCTCTTGTAGGAACCTTATGTGTGTTAGCAACTTGGCCATCGCTCAGATGCTACTTGACAAGTCATCAGTTATCCCACTAAGGGGTTTGAACTTGACGTCACTTTTGTGTCTGCCCTGAGGAAGATGGAATGTATTGGCTCAATCTTACAGGATGATCTATAATCCTTATATTTGTTACATGCTTTTTAGAAGATATTCTGTGAGCAATTGCCCCAACACTTTTTTTTTCTTTAATGTAATTTGTTCTTAATTTCTTTTTGGATTTCTGTGGGTTTAACACCACACAAACCCTTGAATTTCCTTTAGCTCTTAAATTCTAAACCAGACAACAATGCACCGGCTGACTTCATTGTGTGTGACATGGTTCACAAAGGTTTCAGTTAGTTGCATCTGGCTCCCAGCAGTATTCTTTATGGCTATTTTATTGTAATATCAATGCACTCTCTATCTCTCGAAACACAGTAACTATAATATAATGTCAGTGATAACAATGAAAAAAACTGAAAAATGTGTGACTAGTTAACAATAACCTTACTGATCTGAACTGAGGGACTTATAATTGATATCATGTGCAAAACACCCCCTTTTTCAGGGACAAAACACAGGGCTCATATTAGCGCTCATCTCAATCTTCAATGTGATCGCCTTTTCCTATTTGGCTGAAAGCACAAAAACCAAAGAGAGGGCGGGAGAGGATGGAAAATGATCTCTCAAGTTTAGGCCACCATTGTGTCTGTATGCGCCGGTCTCTGGGTCCATCTGTCATAGCGCCACTGAAAACTGACAGCTACCTCTCTCCCTCTGGTCTCCTTACCTCCTCACTGTGTCATTGCTGCCAATGATACTGAAGCCATTGTTCAGTCTGAAAAGGGTCTGGCCTGTACCTGATAACGAGAACAGTAGATAGTGTGAGAGAATACAAAAAACTACATATCAGCACCAGGTAGCCAGCTACAGCTCTCGGATTTAGAGACATGGGTTGGAGAGAAAAGAATGAATAAAATATGTTGAAAGAGTAAGGTATAATGAGGAATGGTCTATCTTCCACTTACAATGATTTGTAGTCTACTAAAGTACAGCAGGACAGTTAGGGAGCAGTTTAGGGGTGAAAGCCTGTAATGTCAGCCCTGCTGAGTTCCTTTCAGTTCTGAGTTATGTAAGGTTGCCCTTTCCCGTTGAATGGTACTGTGAGACAGGCATTATATCTTTGGAGGTACACTTTGATTCATCTAAATCAAGAAGAGCGATCGGATAAGAAATGTTTGCTATTCTGCAGTGGACAGCCAGTGAAAAGGAATAAGGCATTTTAAGGTCAAAGCAAAAATAGAGGGTTAGCAATACACAATGATGTGGGTTTTATACAGTTTTATGGTTTACTGAGTGTCAAGCTTCAAGCTTCACTTGGTCAATTCCATCAGTCTTGGCTGTGTGGTCAAATTACCTGAAGATGTACACAACCTGTTCAAGAGCAGTAATGGGGTGGAGCATTGCAGAGTCACTTTTTTACAATTTCTTTCGTAATTGAAATATAATCAAAATGAAATCTCCGGAGAGGGCGGTGGTGGCGAAGTCCATAGGGACTGGCAACTGGTCACCAGTTCAAGTCCCGGCGAGACCAAGTGCTACCGAGGTGTCCCTGAGCAAGGCACTGTTCCCTACACTGCTTCCCGGGCGCAGTTCATAATGGCAGCCCACTGCTCCTAACACTAGGATGGGTCAAATGCAGAGAAACTATTTTGTTACATAGTACCTGTACTGTGTAATGACAATAAAAGTGAGGGCTTTTGACCTTGAGGAACTGTACTCCTTGGTTGTTTTACAAATGCTGCAATTTTAGTTGCTAAGTCATATCTTAGGTCAAAAACATTTAAAGAAATGTCAGCGGCAATCAGAGGAGTGAACAACCTGGTGGAGAGCAGCTGCTGCCAATGGCCCTCTTTATAGTAGAGTACTTTAAACAGATATCCTGGAATATATTGTGCCCAACACATTTACCACAATCACAATATATCAATTTGGTTTTCCATGCTGAGAAAAAGCTGTGAGGGCATTTTCTGATGCAGCACTGTGCTAGTTCTAAGCCAATGCTTGATATGATTTGCCATCTGCAACCATTTCCACACATTATGTTGCAGCATGGAATTTGTTTTCTCTCCTTTTAGTGTTACTTTGATAAACAGTTGCAGTGTGGACAAATAATCTTTTTCAACTACGTTTTAGAAGCTGTTTCTGAGAATTGTGCAAGAAATTCTGGTACTTATTTTGACAACTCTTTTGACATCCTGTAAAATATATATAAGCATTGATAATTCCACGGAATTTGACAGGACTCCGTCAAATTCCACCTAGAGGTCCTTAGTCTAGAGTCTAGACTGTCAAAAATCCACAAAGCCAACGAAACAGGAACCATCACTCTCTAGCTACCTACTCTAATTCTGACAGGGTTATGTGCAGGTAATGCCACTGAGGTTAAGGAATGGACAACTGCTATCACATGTGTTCCATTAAATTGCACCCACGACAGCCACAGAAGGCTTAATAGTGTTTGCTGTCACCTTGTAACAACCCCCCTCTGTACCTGCTGTGAACACAGAATACAACGAAAAATCGCCTACACAATCCTGTCCTTACACTATGTCGATATCTTAATGCTGGGCATTTCCTTTTTTAATGTTCATTATGTTTTACAACACCACTTAACTGGTGGAACTGCTTACCTTGCTAGCTCAGAATGGCCCACTCAGCAGTTCAGCAACTAAACTATATTATCATATGTACACCAGAGGGAGGTCTAATTCTGCTAGTTAAGATACTCAGAAAAAGACCACGAAACGAATCCTATCAGCAGAAATATTTTTCTACAGTTATTGCCAGAAAGTAGGCACATTGTTCTTCCTGCTCTGATAATGGAATACATATACAAATAGAGTTGTTTTGCACAGGAATATGTATGCAGCTGTTTAAGTGTCATGTTATAGTGTTACATGTTGTCGTGGCTCACCACACTAGCTAGCTCTGGGGTTTTGCTCTTTCGGTGTGGCTTTATAGTCTTTATTGGAAATGTGCGCAGTGTGACAAGCAAATGGAGTGTGAAGAGAATCAGTGATGGACAGTGTTAAGTCTCACCCTCTCTTCCATTGCAGTAGTAATAATAATAATCAGTTGCTGCAGCCCTGTTTGACCTGATGACATGCCCTAGAACGTTTGCTGTGAGAGCTTGAGTACAAACTGGTGACCCAGTGAAGGAAGATTAAAGAGAACGAAGATTAAAAGAGAAGGCTAAATATAATGCGCAAAACTCTCCAAATAATACTCACAGTCAGTAACTGCTAGTGACAGAGTCTCCAATCCTCCACAGTAGAACATGGGAAGCTGGCCAGGCCGAGACAACTTCTCCAGCAGCACGGGCACTCTTATGGCATTCGTCTCGCCCATGGCAAAATCTTGCATTGCATTTATCTCCTGACTCTGTCTCTCCTCTTCCAAATCAACCTGGTCCAGGTATTCTGCACGGAGAAAATGTATTCAATAGCAGACACTGAACTTTGACTGTCACAGAAAAGAGAGAAGGGGAAGCCTCATTGTATCGCAAAAGCATATCCGGAGGCAACCACCCCACCTGCCTATTGCCATAAACTATAAATGAGGACTTAAGTGGGTCTGTAGTATTGAAAATGTAATGCTCGCTACATATGGCAATAGAAAAGAGACTGAGATACAGTGCATATTTGTGTGATAGCCATAAAGTAGCAGCGTTTATTCTCAGCAACATTTTGTAGAAAAGAGTGCTGGACCTTAAAAGGTCAAACTAAGGAAAGCTCAATATGTCTTTGTTGGCTTGGCAGTAGTGGCGTATTAATCTTAAGGATGTGTCAAAACCTTCCAAATAATAGATCTGCAGTCAGTGAGACCACAACAATAGCATCCAACTCACCAACAAGGCCATTCTCAACTAAGTATTGTATAAATAAAACTATGGAATAATAATAAAACTGAATCATGGGATACAAAAAACGTTTAATGGGTAGTCATGTTACATAGCCAAAGAAGGCAGATATCACAAAGGACTTGAATATGTTAAAGATGTCCTTAACTGACCCCTGAAACCCCCCTTTACCTTTCACCATTTTCTCCCTCGCAGGTTCAATTTCCGTCATCTTTTCAAAGCATTTTCTGGACTGAAAAGAGAAGAATTTAGTTCATCACTGCTGTGTGCTTCACTTCTAAAGCTATGGAAATCAATATCATTCTGGTGACTACATAGAAAACGATGATGCAATTTAATATTTTTTTACCAGATATCAATATTAAAGTCAAGGCTTGCCTCTAAACGGATCGAAATGCCTACAAAAAAAAATATTTTACAGAGGATTGCTTTGAGGCTAGGCTGTGTGTGTGCAACATATTTAATTTAAAATTCCTATTAACCTGCTTTATACCAGGCAAACCGCTTTCATTATGTACCCATGTTCCTGCTAGTTAGAGGAGATTTGATCTGTATACAAGAGCAATGTGTAAGAAGCAGTGGTGATTAGATGCAGTGACATATAATCATACTCACCTCATTATATTTCTTTAATGCCAGATATGCTTTGCCCATGTGGAGGTGAGCCTTAATGCACCCCTCATTACACTGACAGAGATACAATGATGATGGGAAGAGATTAGTTGAAGCACTTCATCAGCAACACATCTACAAGTACATAATGGTGATCTAATGCGTCTCCGTTGATACCACTAACACAAGAAGAGGTTAATGTTCAATATGACCTTCAGAAATACTCTCTACAGTAGAAATGTGTTGCAATGATAGTTTCTTGAGTCAAGATAGATGTATTACATTTAAGACTGTTAAATGCCAGAGGGAATTGAATATAAGACTTTTTTTTGCCCGAATGCCTAGATCTACGTGATTTAAATGTTAAAGGCATTTGGTAAATTGTCTAAAAAAAATAGATGTTACCAATTATTTTGAGATGTTGTTGCATTTAAGACTTAAGATTGATTGTGAATATCATAATTAATAACCAAATTAGGTATAATAACTTTTCAAGGATGATCAAATCAAGTTGCTTTTTAGAGCATACATCCAAAACTAGAGAAATAATTGTTCATTGTCAAATTGCGTTTAGCTCGAGTGAACTCAAGAGAACAAAACTCCATGCCAATCGACTATTCCGTTTTTTTTTCTCACAAATATCTACTTTGAGCTCCAAGCATGACAAAGAATGCACGTCAGGTGACACTTTGACGAATGAGGCAGCGATTGACTGACCCCAGTTCCTTACCTTCAGGGCCCATTCACAGTCACTGATGGCCTCCTTGTACTTCCCCAGCTTGATGTACGCCTAAGTAGATATTTGAAATTGGACAAGGCAGTCCAGCAGTGTAATTATAGAGTAGACTTTTAAATGCTGGGTCTTTGGAACTAAGCGTATTGTTTGCACAAGGCCATTATCATATCCAAAAGGAAATACCTTCAGTGAACCAAAAGGATTTATCAATATGGTATAATGCTAGGCGCACAAAGGCAGACTCTTTCTGATTTCTTCTTCTTTTAACTAATTGAAATACAAAAAAACAACAATTTGTGTTGTTTTTGTAGCAAAACATATGAAAGATTAAATGGATATTGATATTCACTTGTGCTCTGTTGGTGTACAATGGCTGAATGTCCCGTAGTTCAGCCAAGCCATCACTGTAATACTTCACAGCAGTTTCATAGTCTTCTTGAGCGTAAGCTTCGTTCCCCTTGTCTTTGAGTGCTGCAGTGACATTAACGGTAAAATATTTCAACTGATGTATTTCTAGTCAAACAGAGCAGCAGATTCTACAAAAATGTCATTTCCAACAGCATCTTTAACAGAGAATCACTTACCATGTGCCTTATTTGCTTTTGCAATTCTCCGTAAGCTCCTGTCTTCAACATCTCTCTCCATAATCCTCATGAAATTGTCTGGGGAAAAAGAAGGAAAACACGAGTGCCAGAACAGAGAAAGAGTAAACATTAAATACACACTATTTGTCATCAATTTCAACCTTAAGCTTTCCCTAGTCAGAGTTTTGCTACACATTTTAAATAAGCAAAACCCGAACATCAATGAAAGTCAAATCAAAGATGTATCATAGACGAAAGAAAGTCATCACTCAACGTTGTTCACTTCATCACTCAGGGAACTTATGTGTGTGATTGTTCATGCTAAAATGTTCTCCCAATGACATATATTGCTCCAAAGTCCAAAGTAATGAATATTAGTTGAAGGTTAATGTTGTGCTTGTTTTGCATTTGCATCTTTAAGGCTATTGATGAGTCAATTAGATGTTTTTAGTAAATTCCTCAAAGGCAAATGAGAAAAATGAATTCTGGCCATCATTTTCCAATTCTGATCTAAATTGTTTTCTCTTGTCTGTTTAGAGTTCAGAAAAGGTGAAAACCTTTCGAGGTTTCTTATTTGTTTCCTATTTGTGAAATAAAGTGGTTTGTCGGTATAACTTTAATGTGTTCCTTATTTCTGCCTATAAAAACAGCTGGGAAATCATTTTGGCCACCAGAGTGCCCCCATTAGAAAAGAGATTACTAGATGTTTTTTTCAACCTTGTCTCTCAGGGCTTTTGTACATGCTATATGGAATACCACATTAGAAAAGAGGCCTTGAAAAGGAAGAGTATACGAGTGACATATTGCGAAAAAAGTAATACCTGCTATTAAGATCATCACAGCAACTTCTCTGCACTACACGCTAACCTACAGCCGGCTCCTGTTTACATGGCTGCCCCCACATTTTCCAATACTTTTCTATAGTGTTTTGCCGTTGTGGCCTAAACAGTCAATACTACAAATCTCCTATCCACCAATCATTTTAAGAAGCGTCCACACAAAAATATCAATCATGTCCAATGAGTCCAATGATTAATTTCCTCTATTACATAGCAGTACCCTTCTCCCCATGAAAACTCAAACTACTTCATGTATAACGAACAACAATCAGAATAATGTTTGAAAATCCCAAACAGATACAGAGAGTTTACTGTATTTGTTGTCGTATTTTTTGGCTCAGCGAAACCATTCTTTCAATGCACGATGAGGACATAAACGTGAGCTTAAACATTGTTTAAATTCAATGCAAGGGACAAACATATAACCCGCTCACCTGGACTTCCATTCTGCAGACCCTGTAAAACAAGAGAAGAATGATGAAAAGAATGTTTTAAAAAGTATTTAAAAAGCTAAAAGTACTTTCAAAAAGTAAAACACGTAATGAAATATCTAATAAATAAATAAAATAACAATGACAAATAGAAAATGAAAAATACAAAGACATAAAAAAGAAAGGGCCAGGACGGTTTCACGAGGAATCAGCTCTGGATGTGCTGCATTGAAGGAGACAAGGTTTTATTGATAGGGATTATATTGTCCTTTCCGGTCGAAGACAGCTGTTCCAGGTTAGGGTGGTCTAATTCCAATTCCAGTTTTTCAATAAAATAAGAAAAGCAGCCAATATGCTGGATACGCTTTTTAAAATCCCACGGGCTTATGTACTGGCTACATGACACATCACTGTCAAGGGTATCATGCATGTTTGTCAAAATAGAAAAAAAGTGCAAAAGTCCAAGAAAAATGGAACAGGATTATAATATAGGTAGCCACTATCAGACCTATTATTGTGAAGAACTTTATTACAAGAACTTGCCAGGAAAGCTGATATAAGAGAAGATAAATGAAAAGTTTGAGGAAAAATCTGTTTTTTTAATAGATAGATACGCAAAACATCTTCAGCTGTTCGTCATCTAATTTATAAATGAATTTTATGAACTGTGAACGTTTTTCGAATGTACTTACACTACAAGAAAGGGAAACATTTCTGGGGGTTGTTATTTATTTATAGGTAATTGTGCTTTGGTTTTACTCGTCAGGCCCACTTGAGATCTTATTGGTCTGTATGTGGTCCATGAATTACAAAGACAGCAATGTGTTAGGGCAACATTAACAGCAACTGTATTTTGGGTGTCTTTGTTTGTATGTCTTACCAAGGAAGGCTGACCTGGTGTGTTTGTGTTGATTGTAGTCTTGTTGACTGTTGTCCTGCAGGGCTCGTCCAACTCAGCAATGTATCCATCAGCTGTCTCTATTGCTTTTTGCTGGATTGCAACGTCAGAGGACTTTAGATCCTTAACTAGCTCACCTTAAAAGAATGAATGATACTGTTAACAGCCTTCACACAAACGTTATATATTTATAAAAATCACATGTATAATAGGAAATTGTCAATTGTATCAACAATGTTTATTTTGACCTGATTTAAGTGTTAAAAGTGTTAAAAGTAACACCATGTAATAAGGGTAAAATAAAGAAATATAAAACAAATGTGTGCTGAGGTAGCATTCTGCCTTTAAAAAGTTAAATCAATAACGTTTAAAAAAGTAAAGTGGCAATGTAATGTCTAAAGTTTAGCTTCAATAAATCCAAGGAGTTTATGAACCACAGACACAAGAGTGAGTTGGAAGGCATACCTGCTTTGTGAAACAATACATATTGAATCTGCCATTAAGCGTCAAATTATTTGGTACATGCAATCCAACATGTCTGTTTAGCTTAGCTTATTACTGACCTTCATTTTGCTACTTTAGACTCTGGCACATGATAACCTAATGTTAGCTGTTAGCTGTTTCGATTATCGCTAGTAACGGTATTGCACTTAATAAGGCTAACCCATATTTTACTCACTTATTTGGTCAACATTCTTCAAAAAACTCTCGAAGTCTTCAAGTGTGTCCATGATGCGTTGGCTCTTTCCAGCCTACTTCTATTATTTAACAAGAATGGTAGCTTTATGTTATGTATAAGTTGTATAACACTTAGCAAACGCTGAGTTTAGCCTACTTTTCACAGCGTCAGCGTGTGTGCGTTTGTTCGGTTTCCTTGGTGACGTGATGCCTTCACTGCCGCTCGTAAAAGATAGTACACACAATTGTTGTTTTGCCACAGAAGATAATACATGTAGCCTACATAAATAATAACTTAGGTCAGTGGATGATTGTATATATCCAGTATATTACAGAACGAAGTCTTATGAACAAAAGTGGTATTTCATTTTAAAGCTTGCCATAAAAGCATATCATCATCACAGAAGTAGCCTATGCAATTCACAATTTGTGTGATCTTCATGACAGCACTTCTCACTCAGAATCTGTGTTCATATTTTTCCCTCTATAAAAAACGACGTAGTTTCACAGTTTTATGAATCAGTATTTATAAATGTATTGCTGCCGTTAGGCCTATACTCTTTGATATTGTGTTCATTAGACTGTAAAGTGATTCAGAGGCCCCCTTTTCCTGCATATTCTGTGCTTCCATACTGTGCTGTGAGTCCAGTCAGACTGGCCAAAGATATCTCCTCAACACTTCAATTAACCATAGACTGTAGGCCTATATATAAATTAAACTGATTTTTAATCTTGATATGTGAGTATCCTACACCCTATACAATAGATCAACACTGCCTCCATGTGGTTAAAGACACTTAAAGAGTCAGCTAGTCAAAAACGAATCTGAAATTAGCTGATTCTCATTATATAGAAGAATATTTATGTGGTAAAACTGTAAAGATAAGCAACAAAGCCACCAAACAGAATAGGAAATAAATGGGCTTTGATAAGCCCTGTCATCACTTACAGTAAGTGCCTCACAAATTCTGTCAGTCATTAGTGCGTCATCACTTTTTTTCCATTGAGTTATTTTTCTTTCACTGCCAGCACAGTATCCTAGAGTAGCCACAATGTGACCACACATTATCAATAAGAAACATCAAAGATTTTAAGGAAATTGTTTTTGGCCAGGATAATTTGTGCAATGTAAGTGGTAAACATATTATATTGATAAAGGATGCAATTAATATTATTTACATTGTGTTTCGTGCCATATCTACAGGATCTGTGTAATGGCTGCTCAGTGGTTGTGAACTGTTCCGCCTTGCACTTTGTGCAGCAAAGTCTTTGAAGACTGAGTGATGGAAAAAGCCAGAGGGGCCCATCAGATGAGGACAAATTGATATTGGCTCACAAGTTTGGACCCACACCAGCAAGAACAGAAAATAAGAAATATAGTGAGTGACAGAGAGGATAGTGGCAAAAACTTTTTAGAACTACTTCATGTCTAATACAGCTGTAATAAGGTTAAGAAATATAAAGACTTTCTTGTAAGGGGCCATGTATTTTCAATTCCATCCTTCAACCAAGGAAGTGCAACAAAACAACAAATCCCATTTTGTTGATAAATGGGATAATGCACAGTGCAGCTATAGCTAGCTTGGCTGTGGTTTAAAAATGATCAATCACATTTTTCCCAATTGAATATCTTTCTAATTGTGACGTCAATGTAACTGTCTTGAATGTTTACCATATTTTACATGATTCAGTAACTAAAAGTGGTGTTGTGTCAGTCAGATCTTTCTTGCAGTTTTTAGACAAAATCTCCTGACCTAAAAATTAGTACAGCTGTGAGATGAGGAAGAGGCATGTACAAAGTGACTACTGGTATGAAAAATGCAAGCTCTCACAACAACAGTGAGGAATTAATAGTGGACAACATAATTTAGCACAACTGGAATCCTAGGCTGGAGCATTGACCTCATCTTTTAAAGGCCAACGAACAAAGGCACCCAGATCCAGTCAACGACCACAAACAGTGAACCTCTTTATCTTCATTTACAAAGAGCAAATGAGGATACAAATATTCCAGGGACCCAACATTCTGAGCATTCTAGCTTGCCATTTATTTTGATTTTGTTGAAATATTAAGGTGTAGGTCAACAGAGACCACAGCCACACTTAGAAAGACAGAAAGTATGTGAGAATGAAGAGGAGTATGATGAACATATCAGAACAAATATTTGTGGATGACAATGTGAATGTATAATTTCTTTCAAAACAAAGCTAGCAGGTAGAATTGTGTTTGCTGTTTATGCATCGTCATACATACTCGGACTTTGAACATTTTATTGTAAATGTCAGTTTTAGAGAAAAGGAAAGCGGCTGCCAAACTGCAGTAGCCTGTGTTTGGATCGAAGCAGAAAAGAATGTATGGAGTTATTTCTGTGACGGCTAACAGACCATGGCTTTTTGTGGCCAACAGCTTTGGATGCCACAGTGTCGTGTCTCAGAAAAAGACATATAAAGTGTTGAGATCTCCATATTAGGTTGAATACTTAAAACGAAAGTTAATTATAATCAAATATAATCAATTATATTCTTGTATAACCCACAATGAAAATGCTTCATATTTTATGTTTTTCTATATTTACAGTATAAACAAAACAAAGTGGTTTGTTAAGTTGAGTGTATTTTACAGTATAAACAGTATAAACAAAGTGGTTTGTTAAGTTGAGTGTAAGACCTATTATGGTTTATGATGTGTCACTGAGAAGAGAGGAGAGACAGTTTCTTCTCACATCAGTTCACAGGGAGGGGGGCTCCTGACTTTTTGGAGAAATACTGAGTCCCCAAAAAGGTGGTTATGCCATAGCCGAGAATAATATTTTTTTCACTAGAGGTCATGAACTTTTTACACAAGCATGGGAAGGTGTGTCTTACAGTAGGTTTTCTGTCCTGTTTTCAGCATAAAACAGTGCGTGAGAGAGGGAAAGCTTCAGAGCTGGGTTTTCTCTCGGTAAGGTTCTCTCAAACTTGGTAAATATCGCTTGAATTTCTTTGTTGAATGCGGAGTGAATTTCTTTGTTGAAAGCTGAATGAATTGATGTGAATTTCTTTGTTGAAAGTTTAGCATCCTGCCACCTGTGAGGAAATTCCTCCGAATTAATGCGGGAATAGATGTGGATTTGAAAGTTTAGCATCCTGCCACCTGTGAGGAAATTCCTCCGAATTAATGCAGGAATAGGTGTGGATTTGAAAGTTTAGCATCCTGCCAGTGAGGAAATTCCTCCGAATTCATGCGGGAATAGGTGTGGAATTGATGTGAATTGATTTGGTGAATGAAAGTTTGAATGTGGTTTTTATCGCTGACCTTTTATGAGGAGATGCCTCTAAATTCTGTCGAACTTCAACTGAATTGGGCAGTTGAAGTTACAATTTAGTGTAATAAATGTAAGACTGTGAATTGAAGTTTCCTATTAGTAATTGACCACAGCATGAAATATTCTGTATGATTGTCATGTTGTAACGAGAGAAGGTAAAACCCTGTTCAAGTGTGGACCAATTTTTCGTCAAAAAAACTGATACCACCTTTTGGATTGGGAGAACTTAAAAGACATCTGCGCTATCCTCTCCTGCTTGAAAGGTAGGAAATGCACACTGCCACACTCACACTTAGGTATGGCCACATCTCATTATTGATATCAAAATCCTTCGGGATCGCTTAAACAGATTTAGCCAACAAGTCCTCCAACTCATACGACCAAATAGGTCGATTGTTCAAGCCCGTATTACGACCAAATAGGTTGTTTGTTCAATCGCTTAGTACGACCTATAATCACGTTTTAAAGTTTTTGACCTCTAGTGCTCCCGTTGACTGCAAACAATGATCAAATGATTTAACAGTGATATCTGCAGTACTCATCCACTAAAAAACATCAGTTTATCCTTGTTAATTACACGACATTACTTGGTTTAAATTGTGTACAATGCTTTTGTGTTTTTCCCATAGGTTTTTCCCTTTAGATTCTGAGGGACACATTTATTTTTTCAGAGGTTTTGATAGGCTAAAACATCGAACTACCCATAATCCTGGATGTTTTAGCTGCAATGCACGTCGGGATATGGTGTTTATGCGATATGAAATCAGAAAACATTTTTAAAAAAAAGAAAATAATACTTTATTATTCCGAGTGTTCTTGCTTTTCTCTTTGGAAGTCATCACATAACGGCATTGTAATACACGGTTCGGATGCATTAAATATTACACATCTGCCGTAGTTCTTTATTTATAGAGCCCTGATTAGAAGACTTCTGGACAAACTGGAAGAAATGCAGCTGAAACTGAATACGTGACGTGGATCATAAATATATCAGCAATTACACAACATCTTCCATTTCTTTTCACACAATACGTCTCCTTGCAGTATCAACACTAATTCGGCTGACTTTTATATTTGATCCAATAATTGGTAGATAGGCTGTATTTACACCATAATTAATGTTGTTCATGAAGCATTATCTAAGTTAGATCCTAAGAAACCGGCTGGCCCGGACAACGTAGAACCTTATTGCTCCACCTCTCACTACTCTTTTTAACCTCTCCCTCAGCACAAATGTAATTCCAAAAGTATGGAAGTCAGCTTATGTCTTGCCTTTGCTAAAAGGAGGGGAAGCAACTATTTTAAATAACTATAGGCCAATCTCTAAATTGTCAGTTCTGGCTAAGGTTAAGTAAAGGTGTTTTTATGTAAAAATGACATCCTGTCTAAACATCAGTCAGGCTTCAGAAAGCAACATAGCACCATCACTGCGACAATGAAAGTGGTGAATGACATTACGAGTATTTTAGATAATAAGCAGAGTTGTGCAGCTCTATTTATTGATCTTTCCAAAGCGTTTGACACCGTCGATCATCGCATCTTAAAGCAGAGGCTACTCAGTATTGGCATATCCAGCCATGCAGTGGGGTGGTTTGTGAACTACCTCTCTGAAAGGTCCCAATGTGTTCACTTTGATGGGCTGTCTTCTGAGTGGTTGAACATTGCTAATGGTGTTCCTCAAGGTTCTGTTTTAGGTCCATTTTTATTCTCCATATATATCAACAGTTTAGGTGAAAATGTGGATAACGCTACTTTACATTTTTATGCGGATGATACCGTGATGTACTGTGCAGGTCCCTCGATTAAGGAGGCGGTTGTTAAATTACAGGCTGTTTTTAACATTATTCAGACTCAGCTCGCTG